ACATCATGGAATCAATCAATGTTGTGATAAACTCAAAATGTGACAAATGACCAAGAGGAAGTCTACTAACACATAAATGATCAAAATATGGTGATTGAAGTGCCAAGCAAATATTCTGACATCTTGCATAATTCTGATGTTGAAGATGAGGAAGAGGGTTCAACAAAACAAAGGTTCCTCTATTAGACTTCAAAAAAATTATCCTATAGAAAAAATGACTGGGAATCTAAATGACAGAATTATCACCAGATCTAAAAAATTCATTTCCAACATGTACTTAATCTCCAAAGTTAAACCCTAAAATGTTAAAGAAACACTAACTGCTGAATATTTGATCAATGCCATGCAAAAGGAACTTGTTTAGTTTGAAATAAGCAAAGCGTGAGAGTTGGTTCCCAGACCTGACTCAATCAACATCATAGGAACCAAGTGGATCTATAAGAACGAGTCAGATGAAAATGGAAATGTGACCAAGAACAAAGCACATTTAGTAACTCAAGGGTACACCCAAATATAAGGCATTGATTTTGATGAGACATTTGCTCTAGTTGCTCGTCTTGAAATTTATCAGACTTCTGCTAGAAATATCACGTCTTCTAAAATTCAAGTTGTACCAAATGGATGTTAAAATTCCTTTCCTGAATGGGTTCTTAAATTAATAGTTGTATGTTGAAAAAATCCAAAAGATTCATTGATCCAAGTGCTCCAAATCATGTATACAAGTTGAAGAAAGCTCTATATGGGCTAAAACAAACTCCAAGAGCTTGGTATGAAAGGCTCACTGAATTCCTCATCACTAATGGTTACAATAGAGGGGGTTTTGATAAGACATTGTTTGTCAAGAAATGAGGATATAAACTAATTATTGCTCATGTTTATCTGGACGACATAAATGTTTGGAGACATGTCAAACAAGATGGTAGAACATTTTGTTCTATAAATGCAGTCAGAATTTGAAATGAGTTTGATAGGCAAACTCACATAATTCCTTGGATTCCAAGTAAGACAAATGAAAGAAAGAGTATTTATATCTCAAAGTAAATATGTCAAGAACATTGTAAATAAATTTGGGCTTGAAAGTGCTAAACACAAGCATACACCAACTGCAACTCACATCAAGTTAACAAAAGATGATCAAGGAATAGATGTGGATCAAAGACTCTATATAAGCTTGATTGGGTAACCTTCTTTACCTTACAACCAGTCCCCCGGACATTACCTTCTCAGTAGGGGTCTGAGCTCATTATCAAGCCAAGACAAAAGTCAATTCACTCAAGTTAAAAGAATTGTTTTAAATGGCACAAGTGGTTATGGTATTTTGTATTCTCATGACACTAATGGCATTCTGGTTGGGTATTGTGATGTTGATTGGGCTGGGAATGTTGAAGATAGAAAGACACCTTTGATGGATGCTTCTTCCTAGGGAACAATATTATTTCATGGTTCAACAATAAGAAAAATTACAGAGCATTATCCACGAGTGAAGTCGGGTATATTGCAGTAGGCAGTAGTTGCACTTAAGTTATTATGGATGAAACAGATGTTGAAAGAGTACAATGTAAAACAGTATTTTATGACATTATATTGTGAATTATAAGTGCGATAAATATCTCCAAGAATCATGTTCAGCACAACCGCACTAAGCATATAGGCATACACCATCATTTCATTAGAGAACTGGTTGTAGACAAGGTTATTACACTTGATCATGCTGCAATTGAAAACCAACTTGCATGTGAAGATTGTTACACTATAATGGTGGAAATTGAGCTTTTGTGTGTGGTTTGGAGAAAAAGATGAAGATGAATGTGAGAAAAAGTTATAGAAACTTTAGAGAGAATGTGAGAGAGAAGAGTGAAAATTGAGAGAGAATTGTGAAAATGGTTGAAGGTGTAAAAAAATGGTTGAAGCCCCTAAGCAAAAATGCCAAGGTTCCTTTATATAGAGTGGAGGTTTGAAGTTGCTAGGTTTGGAGCTTGCTTTGGAACTAGCTTTGGAACTAGCTTTAAAGTTAGTTACATTTAACTCACTGAGTCGAAAGTTGACTCAGTTAGTTATTTGTTAACTCAGTGGAGCAATCCCAATGTAAGTCCAAATCCAATGGTTCATATACTTGCAAATGAAGTTACATGGTGGTCTTGATTGGAAATGATGTATTGTAGTAAATGCAAATGAGCTCTTGAAGTGTCTAAAACATTCCTTTTAACACTAGAACCAAGTAAACCTCAAAAAGTAGATAACAGGTTACTATCAAGAAAATGCAGCAAAATATGCCAAAATACAAAGGTTCCTTAGTACATGCAAAGTGAGTACGGGTATGGGTACATGCAGTTACACATTAAAATAAGTGAATATGAGTCCATAGTTGAGTACCTTAGTACCAACGTGTTCCTTACTCGCATACTATATATTTTTTATATTTTTAGTCCCCTCCCAGAGATCTGACCACCATAAGGAATGAACTCCCCAAATTGATCTGATCCAAACATCACCATTTTTAGTTCGATCACTTCAAGGCGTAACATCTTAGATCCAGTTCAAATACATGCTAGAACTTATGGAATGATCACCTGATCATAATATCTTCAGTAATTCGAAAGCAGGACATCCATCCTTTCAACGTATCCAACGATCCTCCTCATTTTACGCCAAAAAGCTAGCAAGTTGGTTACTCAAGTTTCAAACATAATTTGAATACTCTTTCATCATATACATATTGACTTGAGCGTCGAAGTTCAAACCTTGTAAGTACACTCCCGCTCCGTCGCACTGGAAGTTTTCCTCTACTGTAGCTTTTGTGACTACACACTTTTCTGGTTCTAGTATGAAACAATTTTCATATTTATAGTCCATTAATATTAGGGATGATAATTAGACACACCCCTAATGGTCACCTATAGAAATTACCCACATTAGATATTGTAACAATCAGCAAAGTGAGTAGGGTATGAGTACAAGCAGTTACACACTAAAATAAGCAAATATGAATGTGGATTCGGGTACCTTAATACCCACCCACCCCATACCCACATACTATATATTTTTATATTTTCATTTTTATTTTTGTATACACGTGTATGCTTATTAGTTTTATTAAATATATCATTATTAAACCAATATACATTTTAATATAAGTGTTTATTTATTTCTTAACTCAACAATAACATTCTTGAATTTTGTTAATATTGTTAAAAACTTAAAATAACATGATAAATTATAAATCATCAATAATTTTTTATTTAAAATGCAGGTAAACGAATATGAATATTTAAGTGCCTATATCGTACATATGTGAATATAAACATTAATGTCCACACAGGTATAAACTCTACGAGAACTTTCCAAACCACACATATACAGACAAGTATTATAGTTCATCGCCAATTATTATACCTACTAATGTAAATTTTTTATAAAATTTCACTCGCAATAATAATTTTTTAAACATATTTTTATTAAATTTATAATTTAAAAACACAAACTTATTTATATCTCTTATATCATTAATTAAATAAATAATTATTTAAAACTATTAGAGGCCGACTGTTTTAAAGATACATAAATAGTTACAAAGAATAAGTTACACAAAAATAAAATTATAAAAATTTAATTTTTGAATATTTTTTTATATTGACACGTAATTTGATATTCCTAAAAAATTATATATATATATATATATATATATATATATATATATATATATATATATATATATATATATATATATATATATATATATATATATATATATATATATATATATATATATATATATATATATATATATATATATATATATATATATATATATATATATTATTTTTTTTAAATGTCTTATAAATAAGAAAAATTTGACTTTTTAGATTCATTGACTATTTAATGTATTTGATCCATGGTACAATCCAAATAAATTAATTATTCAATAAATTTAAAAATTAATTTTTTCTTATAAATAAGATATAGTGTGAAATTTTGTGATAATTTTCCACATTTTGACTTGGTAATTATGAAAATTAATGGACATTCTCCCAAATATGTATTCCCTCTATTTTAAAATGTGTATATTTTTCACATATATTAAAGAAGGTAATGAAATTGTCACAAAACATTATATTTTTATTAAATTAATCTTATAATATATTAAACATAGTGTACAAAATAATAAATAAAAAATACAATCACAATAATAATAATAATAATTTTTACATTACAAAATGAAAATTACATTCATACAATACTTTAGCATGTCATTTTGAAATGGAAGTAGTATAATTCTTTGACTTATTTTTTATAAATTTATTGCTACAACCATTTTATTTAATATATGTAAGAAATTTGTAGGTTATTTTCTACTAAAAGACAAATGAAGTTACTACTTGCATCACTCTAGACTCTAAAGTCAATGTACTATTCCCTATGTGAAATTATGCATTGACTTTAAAATTTTATATTAATTTTTTACTATAAATATTTTTTTTTCATTTTCTTTTTTTTCATAACTTTTACTCTAAGGATATAAGTTAAATTAGTAGTCACCTTTTATTTAATTCGGTCATCACACAATCAGAAAAACACTGGCCTCCAAGAGTGAGTTGATGCCACCTCTTATCCTCAGTGTTATAAGATACCTAAGATACCTAACTCTCCCACTTGAGATTATTGTAGGGTCTATCAATAAAAGTGAGTTTTGTCCTTTATAAGGGTTTCTTTCCGGCGTGTGGCCCTCGAAACCGACTTAAACAAGTATAACTACCTATCCCTCCCTTCAGTGGTAGGAAACATTTCTCTCATGCTCTACTATATATTTAATACAATTCCTCTTCTTTCACCGTATCTATACTCATTAACAGTAAGAGAATAACAAATTCAGTTAAGTTAGTTTTACTCTATTCCAGATCACCTTACCTTCGAACTTTGCATGTTGAGATTGGGTATTTTATTTTCAGGTCTTGCTTTTATGGTTTCTGACGTTCCTATTTCTGCAGAAAAAGTTAGGTGAAATGGTTTCAAATACTACATCTGGAAATGTTTGCTCGGCGCCGATGAAATCGACGTCTAACGGTGTATTTCAGGGAGATAATCCTCTTGATTATGCACTTCCCTTGGCTATTTTACAGATATGCATTGTTCTTCTCGTTACAAGGGGACTCGCTTATCTTCTTAAGCCTTTAAGGCAACCGCGAGTTATTGCAGAGATTATTGTAAGTTCTTTTATTCTTTTTCTTTACATATTTGCACTAATTAATTAACTTATTGATTATTCTATATTATTAGTAACAGGTTTTATTGGCACCCCTAATATTACTTTAATATTTTCTATTAGGTTTTTAGTTTTAAATAAGAGTCTTTAGTTTTCAGTTTTTATATAAATTCACAGTTTGCAGTGTTGTTCATGTGTTTCACTTGTCCAAACTCAAAACAAGTCAACTATGAAACATGACATCAACATGTGACACTAGTAACAACTTGAAAAAAATAAATAAATTTAATGTAATCACACTTGTCCGTTAGTCTTTGTTCTGAGCTGTAGATGCCAAGGTTTTTGCGATTTCAGTCGCTACAGGTGTTGTGACGCTGATTGCAATCGTCGCGGTGTGAATTAATCACAATTTGTTTTTTATCACAAAAACAGTAAATAATGATATCGGTATTGACATCTTTCGATACTGTTTTGTCGCAGCTGTTTTCGTGGTAAATGACCGTTTTTTTGGTCTGTGCTACAAAACAAGTCAATTATTTAGTCAATTTTTTAATGTACAATGAAATATGACAATTCAATGCTCTTAAATCAGCAATAGATATTACTTGTTAGAGAAATATACATGAAAAAATTGTGCACATGTGTAAGAGAAATTAGAATGGTAGTGTTTGCAAAACCATTTTCTATGCCACAGAATTTAAACACATTAAATTCACATTTGTTCTTACAATCTGCCTTCTAAAAAGCAGTGTTTTTTTGGCTTTGCAGCTTCTATTAGATCCAATCTTGAATAGGAAAGGAAGTGTTAGTAGTTATTACAGCATATATTTATGTGTTAACTTTCCTTATTGATGACAGGGAGGGATACTACTTGGGCCATCAGCACTTGGACGGAATAAAAGCTATCTGCATGCGGTTTTCCCACCAAAGAGTCTTCCGGTATTAGATACTCTAGCAAACCTTGGCCTTATATTCTTTCTTTTTTTAGCAGGCATAGAGTTAGATCCTAAATCTCTCCGGAAAACTGGAGGTCGAGTCCTTGCAATTGCTGTGGCTGGAATAAGCTTGCCTTTTGCACTAGGAGTTGGTTCATCATTTGTTCTGCGAGCGACAGTTGCCAAAGGTGTAAATACTTCGGCGTTTCTTGTATTTATGGGTGTTGCTCTCTCTATTACTGCATTTCCTGTACTAGCTCGTATTTTGGCTGAGTTAAAACTTCTAACCACTAGTGTCGGAAGAATGGCTATGTCGGCTGCAGCAATTAATGACGTAGCAGCCTGGATTCTTCTTGCTCTGGCTGTTGCCTTATCAGGCAGTAGCCAATCTCCATTTGTGCCGTTGTGGGTTTTCTTATGTGGATGTGTTTTTGTCATTTGTTCTGTCCTCATCGCCCTTCCAATTTTCAAATGGATGGCCAAACAATGCCATGAAGGTGAGCCGGTTGATGAGTTATACATATGTGCTACATTAGCCGCTGTTCTGGCTGCTGGGTTTGTCACAGATGCTATTGGAATTCATGCCATGTTTGGCGCGTTTGTTTTTGGAATTTTAGTTCCAAAAGATGGACCTTTTGCCGGTGCTCTTGTGGAGAAAATAGAGGATCTTGTGTCTGGTCTATTACTCCCACTCTATTTTGTGTCAAGTGGATTGAAGACTAACATAGCCACCATTCAGGGGCTGCAATCATGGGGTCTTCTAGTTTTCGTTACATTCACGGCTTGTTTTGGGAAGATCGTTGGGACTATTATTGCTTCTCTTTTATGTAAAGTACCTTTTAACGAGGCTTTAGTTCTTGGGTTCTTGATGAACAGTAAAGGCTTGGTTGAATTAATTGTCCTCAACATTGGTAAAGATAGAAAGGTATTTGATTTTTTTTTTTTCATTCACTATTCCTATAATAACTTTAATAATATGGTGCATACTCACGTCCAACCGATCACCATGATGGATATTTGATGTATGAATTTGCAGGTTTTGAATGATCAGACTTTCGCCATTATGGTTCTCATGGCTCTCATCACTACCTTCATGACCACTCCTCTTGTGATGGCTGCTTATAAGAGGAAGGCAAGAAAGTCTGATTACAAATACAGAACAATTGAAAGGAAAAATGCAGAAAGCCAACTGAGGATTCTTGCCTGTTTCCATGGCTCAAGGAATATTCCGTCTGTGATAAATTTGATCGAGACTTCAAGAGGAATCAAGAAGCATGACGCTCTTTGCGTGTATGCAATGCACCTTAAAGAATTTTCCGAGAGGTCCTCATCGATACTAATGGTACAAAAGGCAAGAGAAAACGGGTTGCCATTTTGGAACGACGGTCACCACGGAGATTCTGTCCATGTAACTGTGGCGTTCGAGGCTTACCATAAACTAAGCCAAGTGCGTGTCCGGCCAATGGTAGCAATTTCATCAATGGCAAACATTCATGAAGACATTTGTGCTACTGCTGATAGAAAGAGAGCAGCAGTCATCATTCTCCCATTTCATAAGCAACTAAGCTTAGAGGGTTCCCTTGACATTATAAGAAATGATTTTCGATATGTTAACAAAAGGGTACTCGAGCGTGCACCGTGCTCAGTTGGAATCTTTGTTGATCGCGGGCTTGGTGGTTCATGTCATGTTTCTGCAAGTAATGTTTCGTATTGCATTACTGTGCTTTTCTTTGGTGGTGGTGATGACCGCGAAGCTCTTGCTTATGGAGCCCGTATGGCTGAGCATCCTGGCATAAGATTAGTGGTTATTCGCTTCTTAGTGGAACCTAATATTGTAGGAGAGATTACGAGAGTTGATGTTGGAGAATCTTCGAGCACTAATTCAAACTCAGTTGACCAGGAGTTCCTTGAGGAATTTAAGCTGAAAACAGCCAGTGATGACTCCGTTACCTATGAAGAAAAAATAGTAAAAGATGCTGCAGAAACAGTTGCTACTATCCGTGAGGTTAATTACTGCAACCTATTTCTGGTCGGTATAAGGCCAGCCAGTGAATTGGCCTGTGCTCTGGAAAGAAGTGAGTGCCCGGAACTAGGACCTGTTGGGGGCTTGTTGGCATCACAAGATTTCCCTACAACAGCATCAGTTTTGGTAATGCAACAGTATCACAATGGGATGCCAACAAATTTTGGCCCAGAAATGGAAGAACATTCACCTGATGGAGGCACAGAATCTGCATAGCTGTTTGCATGGGGTGGATGGTGCTATAGCAGGGATTAGGAATTAATACTCTAGACCTGATTCTACATAAATAAAAAAGTTTATTTGACTATGTTAGGTGTCCATCATGTTATTCTAGTGAATTGAATATAAATAATCTATGTTTTTGCTGCTGTTATGATTATTCTTTTTATTTTTTATCATTTATCAAATGTCTTTGAAATTTTGTATTTTCAACTTAAATGCTAAGTTTTGTTGGTTTATTGGTTAATGTTGTGATACATCAGAGTAATCAATCGCGAACGGCGTGATCCTGGGCGGTCCGGCTGGAGTGCCCACCACTGCGTGAAAAGATGGGAGCGGCGCGGCGTTTGAAAACGCGGTCGATTTCGCCGCAATTGCGAGTCACAGGTGGCTCCCGGGGTGGAGCGGTTTTATCCGGTTTTTTTATTTTTTAATTTATTCGAAATAAAGGATAAGAAATGAAGGATTGAAAAGAAGATGAAATAGTAGGGAAAAATACGGATAAGAATGAAGGTTGAAAAGTCAAATAATAATATTAAATTCAATGCATTAGGAAAAAAGTCGATGTGTGATTTCAATTGTATCGTGTGTGACTAGGTGATAAGTGGTGATATGTATGAGTGTATTATCCATCATGGGGGTGGATTTGGTGAGTTTAACAGATACGGTTACAATGGTTTAGAGGAGATTTGGCAGGTTGACCTAGATTTTTGGAGTTGTTTTGAGATTTTAGGTGGGTTGAAAGATTTAGGGTATCCAAAAGCTGAGAGCTTGTGGTATTATGATGCAATGGATGATAATGAGCTTGTGATGTTGCAAGATGACGCAGAAACAAATAGAATGAGTACCATTGTACCATTGCTCTGATCAATGAGAATGTTCATCTCTATGTAATGCATCCAGTGTGTGGGGAAGAGTAAATATTGCCTCTTGAGAATAATGTAGGTCTAAATGGTGAAAACTATGTAGGTCTAAATGTTAAAAACAATGTAGGTGTAAAGTTGAAAACAATGTAGGTCCAAATGTTGTAGAAGACGACAATTTGGAAGATGACATGTTGGATGAATTGAATAATGGTGTAAAAGAAACTTTTGATGACTTGGGGACCATTGAAGAATTGAATAATATAGGTGACAATTTTGAAGAACGATGACCCACAGGATTTGAAGATTCAGCAGCATTTGACCAAGAAGCATCATTTGAGAATGTTAATATGGATGAGACCACTGAGGGCAATAACCAAAAAAAGTCATGTTAGGATGTTAACTTTGAGGGGGACATTGTGTCTGAGGATGCCATAGTGGATATTACTTTAGATGGGACCACTGGACATATGGTATGTGACCAAGAACATGATGTATTGGATAGCACACCCTTCTTGGTGAGTGTTCAAACTGAACCTATATGTGAGGGACTGATTTATAACCAAGAGGTACACCAAGGAGCAGAATGTAACCAAAAAAGGGAGGGACTTAAATGTAACCAAAAATATTGTAAGGATAGGGAAGATGATAGTGTGTTGAAAGAGATCTTTCGAAATTCTAGTGATGATTCAATTAGAATTGCTGAAGAAATTGTTATTGATATAGATGAAAGAAAAGGAAATGGGAAGGGCAAAGGTAAGGGTAAGGTGAAAGGAAAAGGTAAGGGTAAGGGGATACCAAAGAAGAAGAAAAAGTTGTGGAAGAAGGAGTTGATGGTAGTGGTGTATTTGATGATGTCAATGAATGTGAGGCTACAAAAGAAAGCTTTAGAGGTTTGAGTGACGTTGAGGAGTATGACACTGATGAGTTACCATATGTTTATGATAGTGAAGATGATGAGATTCTAAACGATGATTTTTCTACTTTCAAACTTCCAAAAAGAATGGATGATTACAAGTGGAAATTAGGGACTTATTTTACTTCTAAGGAAGACTTTAAAGAGGGAATTAAAATTTATGCTATCCATTCTGGTAGAAACCTACAATTTAAGAAAAATGATAATAAGAGAATGAGAGTCGTATGTAAGAAAGGTTGTCCATGGGAGTCATACTGTGCAAAATTACAAGATAATAATACTTGATAGTTGAGAAAGATTGTGGACAAGCACACATGCAGTAGGGACTATAAGGTGAGGTTCCTAAATTCCAAATGGTTGGGGGAAAATTCAAAGTAATGTAAGAGAGAATCCTAATTTGAAGTTGAGTGATATAATGGAGAAAACAAAACAAAAGTGGAATATAGGGATCAATAAGACACTTGCATACAGAGCTAAGTCACTTGCTATTGATATTGTTGATGGTTCATTTAGAGAGCAATATACAAGAATCCATAATTATGGTTATGAGCTGTTAAGGACGAATCCTGGTTCAACTGTAAAAGTTACTAGTCAACCAAGTCAAGTTGAGGAGGAAAGTATTGAGAATCTTGAAAGGCCTTTGAGTCCACATTTCCAAAGGATTTATGTTTGCCTCAAAGCTTGCAAGGATAGCTTCTTTAAGTGCAGACTTATCATAGGTTTGGATGGATACTTTTTGAAAGGCTATTATGTTGGACAAATTCTTGCAGCCATTTGGAGGGATCCTAATGACCAAATGTTGCCAATAGCATTTGTTGTTGTTGAGGGAGAAACCAAAGATTCATGGAGTTGGTTTTTGGATCTGTTGACACAGGATTTGGGAGGTGTGAAACTATGCAAAACATATACTTTTATAAGTGATCAACAAAAGGTGTGTACTAATAACTTTATAACTGACTATGTTTTTGACATAATTTGTTTTTGTTATCTTTAAAACTGATCTGGTATGACTAAAATACAGGGGTTGTTACCTGCCCTTGATGAGTTGCTGGCAGAAGTTGACCAAAATTTTTGTGTTAGGTAAACATCATTATATTGTGTTATATAGCAATGTATTGATGATGATTATGAGCCTTATATTTCTGATGATGATTATGGTAGTTTCTGATGTGGATGTTTCCATTGTGGCAGACATTTATATAGCAATTTCAGAAAGTTTTCTAGTGTCAAATTAAAGAAATTGATGTGGAAAGCTGCCAATGCTAGTTAATCAAATGCTTGGGAAAGAATTATGCGTGAAATGAAAGAGGTGAGCGAAGAAGCATTCGAGCGCCTTTGAAAGATCCCACCTAGGTTCTGGAGCAAATCTAGGTTTAAAAATGGTCCAAAGTGTGACACTTTGGTGAACAACATGTCAGAAGCCTTCAAATCTGTTTTGTAGCTACAAGGGTCAAGCCCATTGTGACTATGCTTGAGGAGATTAGAGTGTACCTGATGCAAAAGTGGGAGTCTAACAGACAAAAGGTTTTCAAATATGCTGATACCATTCTGCCAAATATCAGAAATAAGTTGGAAAAAGAATCACAAAGGACTAACAGTTGGATTGTGAGGTAATGTCTCATACATGATTTTCTAGGTAATACAAAGAAGTAGTATGCATCCATAACTAATTTATGTATTTATAACAGGCGTGCAGGTGAAGTAGACTATGAGGTTAGACACATATCACTCATTGAAGAAAAGTTTGATGTTAATCTGTCAAAGCATAAGTGTTCATGTAGAAGGTGGATGTTGATTGGGCTACCATGTTGCCATGCCCTTGCATGTATGAAGGATCAACATTTACAGGTAGACGATTTTGTTCCTGATTATTGCAAAAAGGAGTGTTATGAAGCTTGTTATGCACCAGTGGTTTATCCAGTCAATGGAGAATCGCTTTGGACCAAAATAGATGTTGTTGACCTGCAACCACCCTCCATGAAAAGACAGCCTGGTAGACCCAAGAAGAAAAGGAACAAAGATGCTTGGGAACAAGTTAGAAATGATACACAACTCAAAAGAGCCAAATTTGGTATCAAATGCAGTAGGTGCCATAAAGATGGTCACAACAAGTCCATTTGCAAGCTGCCTACAACAATAACAACAACACCAAATTTGTTGCTATAACAACACCACCACAAACTGTTGTTGCTACAACAACACCAACACTAAATGATGTTGCTACATCAATACCACCACTAACTGTTACTGGTATAACAACACCACCACCAACTGTTGCTGCTACATCAACAAGACCACCAACTGTTGCTGCTACATCAAGCCTACCACCAACACCAGTTGCTGCTACATCAAGCCAGCCAACATAAGATGGAGGTTCAACTCAGCAAATATTCAAAAAAAGAAAGAGACTTCAAAAGGGTCTAAAACCTGTTCTGAGTCAACCATAACCTTATGTTTATCTTTGATGTGTACTAGTTATTCCACTTTTTGTCTATTATGTAGTTTAAGACTAAGGCTTTTAATGTCACTTTTGTTGGATTGCAACTAATGTTATGGTTTTGTGACTATCGTTATGACCATTTTATACTTTGTATTTGTTCTTTTAATTGTGGGAAACAAACAAAAGTAACATTTCACATATACAATTCATTGATAAATTTTGACAGAAACAAAAGTAACATTTCTCAAACAAAAGCAATTACATTTCATTGATATATTTTGACAAATTCATAACAATGTTGACAAAACATTTCACAGATACAATTCAACCTCCTTGTTCACAACTACATGTCATTACACAAAAACAACCAGCCTAAAAAACTATCGTTACAAAAATAACATTAAACAATAAACTCAATATTCCAATGATTATAGACAATTTAAACCATCCCCTTGTGTTGATGATCTCATTCTTCAACCTGTAAATTTTCTTCTTCTCCCTCTAGATCTTCAAATCTCTTTCGTCGATAATGTCGTTGTCGAACCATTTGAAAAAATTACATCCCTTATTCACATGATTTCTGAAATTTCTGCAACCCCAAAACTTTTTCCCAAAATTGACACTACTTATATCACCCAAGGTACGAAGCACACATTCATCTTGGCAAAAGCACTCCCTCCTTTTATTTCTTCGAACAACCAAGTCAGATGTACCAATTGAAGAACTGCTTGACATTTTAAACTTTTGAGACGAATAAGAAAGATAAACCCTAGGAATT